AGCTCAGCTCTCTCAGATAAGCTGTGAGGGGTAAACTTCAGCCTAGATACGAGAGAATGGGTCTATGCATTAAGTGTGCACCATATAAAAAAAAAATCCTGCAGCATGCAGTGCATAATGGGGAAGAAAACTGCAATAGTGTTTTTGTTTTATTACAGCGATTTTGTGGTATATTTTCACATGGTTTTTATGTTTATATTCTCAATTTCTTGGAGCCATTTGATAGAATGAAAGATATACACCTTCCATTCAACTTACGACTGAGTTTGGCTCAGACTAACCAGTTGTAAGTCAAAAGGGATGTAAGTTGAGCCTTACTACTGAATATCAGCATAACATTATGTAATGATTTTATTTTATTGTTTTATTTTGGTATTTCATTTTTTACTTTACTTTTTATGCTGTTAGTACTGTATTTTATACTGTAAGGTTTAGGAGAAACACTGTACAACACAAACAGTTGTTTATTTCCCAGAACATTTGCATACAAAACATGGTCATAAGTCGAGTGATTGTATGTCAAGCAGGTCGTAAGTCGAGTGGTTGTATGTCAAGCAGGTTGTAAGTCAGATGGTAGGTGTATTACAGAAATAGAGATGATTTTGATTGGTTTCAGGACTGAAAGTTGCTTGAAATTGAGCTCAAAGTAGCAGAAATGTTTGATTTTTGCCGATATTCCAGAGCACACAAATTATGTCGCTCGTCCAATACCCTTCCAACTGGTCAGTCTAATACATGTTCACAAATGTGCTGAGATTATGTATACAATTATTACAATAATGAGTAGTCTGCATGACAGTAAATCTGTTTTTTGTGTGAATAAAAATTCAGAATGGATAAGCATAAAATAGGAGAGGCCTGAGGATGTGACTGATGAACAGAGGAAATGTTGTTTTAGTGCCAGGAATATCTACATTGTTTATCCTGGAACCTATTTTGAAATTGGCAATTTTTTTTTATTTTGTATGAGTTTGGTCAAATTACCAAAATTCTAATACAACTTTACTGGGTAGTTGAAATAGGTAAACAGGCAGTTTCTTGTACTCACTGGAATAGAAGGATTTCTAGCGAAGTAGCTATGAATTTTGGTAGATTGGAATTGGCCGAAAACAGGGCTCAAAGTGGGCGAAATCGCCGATGCATAAATATCGCCGAGACCGCTAACTTTGCAATAGTGTATTCCATAAGTTTTTCATCATATTTCATACTTTTGGTTTCATTATGCTCGGAAAAGGATTCTCTTATCATTTAACAAGTTTTTTTTTTTTTTTAATTCTCCGACCCAGCCTAAGAGCAATTCTCACATCAGGGGTTCTGACCCTGAAAGGTTTAATGTTACCTAAAGAGTACACTGTCTTTTAACCCTTTGACTGTTTTGGTCGTATATATACGTCTTACAAGCCAATGTGTTTGACGTATATACGTATACTCAAAAATTCTAGCGGCTTCAAATCAAGCGGGAGAAAGCTGGTAGGCCCTCATGTGAGAGAATGGGTCTGTGTGATCAGTGTGTACTGTATTAAAAAACATCCTGCAGCATACATTGCATAATGAGAAAAAAAAAAGATCCTGTTTTTGGATTAAAACGCCGACTGTGAGGTGTATTTTTGTGTAGTATTTATGGTTGTATTCTCGTTTTCTTGGTCTCATGTGATAGAATGGAAGACATTTTACAGAAATAGAGATGATTTTGATTGGTTTTACTATGAAAAGGACCTTGAAATGGAGCTCAATTAGGGGAAACGTTTGATTTTTGCCGATGTTCAAGAGTCCAATAAATGTCCAAGTAGCCATTCTGATAAGCAGTAATGAATTGGCTGACATTATTTATACAATTATTACAATATTTCAGTGGTCTACATAACAGTAAATCTTCTATTGTTTGTTTGAATAAAAATTCAAATTAGAAAGCAAGAGTAATATCAGAGAGGCCTGGACACATGACTGATGAACAAAGAAAATGTTATTTTAGAATCAGGAATGTCTGCATTGCTCATTCTGGACCCTATTTTGAAATTGGCATATTTTTTAATTTGCGTGAAATTGGCCAAATTGCCAATTTCTGACCACTTTATTGGGTAGTTGAAACCGGTAAATGGGCAGTTTCTTGTACTCAATCAATAGAACAAATGGATTTCTAAAGAAATAGCTATGAGTTTGGTCGACTGGAAAAATGGAATTAGCCGAAAATAGGGCTCAAAATGTGTGAAATCACTCATTCGTAAATATCGCTGAGGTCGCTAACTTTGCGAGAGCGTAATTCCATAAGTTTTCCATAAAATTTCGTACTTTTGGTGTCATTACCATCGAGAAAATATTCTTATCATTTCATAATTTTTTTTTTTCTCCAAATATTTTGTAACACCAGGAAACACCTCAGGATTTGGAGTTGCAACAGTCAAAGGGTTAAATCTTTAAATATTATCAAGTTTCAGAGTCCTTAATAAAAGAATTAATCAGTGCCCTTAACTCTTTCAGGGTTGGAACTCCTGATCTGAGAATTGTTCTCAGGGTCAAAGAATTCCTCTCAAGTCTTATTTTTCCTTATGAAATTATAGAGAATCTTTTTCCCAAGGTAATGAAACTAAAAGTACGAAATTTGATGGAAAACTTATGGAATTATACTCTCGCAAACTATGTGGTCTCAGTGATATCTATTCATCGGAGATTTTGCCCACTTTGAGTCCTATTTTTGGCCAATTCCATTGTTCTAGTTGACTAAACTCATAGCTATTTTGCTAGTATTCCTTCTAGTCTATTGACTGAGTACAAGAAACTGCCCATTTACCTATTTCAACTATCCAATGAAGTGATCAGAAATCAGTAATTTGACTAATTTCACACAAAATTAAAAAATTGTCAATTTAAAACTAGGGCCCAGAATAAACAATGTAGACATTCCTGGTACTAAAAAAAAAATTTCCTCTCTTCGTTAGTTGTGTCCCCAGGCCTCTCCTATATTATGCTTGCTTTCCATTTTGAATTTTTATTCACACAAGAAATAGAAGAGTTACAGTTATGCAGACTACTGCATTAGTGTAATAATTGTATAAATAATGTCAGCATATTTGTGGACACATACTGAGCAGTTGGACACGTATTGGACGAGTGACGTAATTTGTGTACTCAGGAATATCGGCAAAAATCAAACATTTCTGCTACTTTGAGCTTAATTTCAAGCTACTTTCAGTCTTGAAACATATCAGAATTATCTCTATTTCTGTAATATGTCTTTCGAGAATGTAACGATAAAAACAATAGGAAAATACACTCAGTCGCTGTTTTAGACCAAAAGCACGATCTCAGTTTTTTCCTCATTATGCGCTGCTTGCAGCAGGATTTTTTATATGGTGCACATTTACCGCATATGGCCCATTCTGTCATACCTAGGCCCAAATTTACCCCTCACAGCTTATCTGAGTGAGCTGAGCTCACGGCTCACTACTACGGGACCAACTCTCATTTCAAAGCCATAGTACAGTGGGACCCACCCCGAAAGGGTTAAATCAGCAAAGTCTAAATTCATTATATTCATAATGTGCTACTAGTTAGCCAGGTGTTGGATAACTAAGATGATGTTGAACAACTATTTGTCACAAATTTAGAATTCAAGGTTTTCTTAACCCTTTGACTGTTTTGGTCGTATATATACGTCTTACAAGCCACTGTTTTTGACGTACATATAAATTCTAGCGGCTTCAAATCAAGCAGGTGAAAGCTGGTAGGTCCACATGTGAGAGAATGGGTCTGTGTGGTCAGTGTGCACCATATAAAAAAAATCCTGCAGCACGCAGTGCATAATGAGAAAAAAAAACTCAAACCATGTTTTTTTTTTTTTTTTTTTTTTAAAGTTAAAATGCCGACTTTGTGGTCTATTTTCGTATAGTATTTATGGTTGTATTCTCGTTTTCTTGGTCAATGGAAAACGTATTATAGAAATAGAGGTAATTTTGATTGGATTTACTACGAAAAGAACCTTGAAATGGAGCTCAAAATAGGGGAGATGTTTGATTTTTGCCGATGTTCAAAAGTAAACAAATGATGTCATTTTCCAATAAATGTCCAAGTAGCCATTCTAATATGCAGTCATGAATGGGTTGACATTATTTATACAATTATTACAATATTGCAGTAGTCTGCATAACAGTAAATCTTCTATTTTTTGTTTGAACAAAAATTCAAAATAGAAAGCAAGAGTAATATCAAAGGGACCTGGAGATGTGACTGATGAACAAAGAAAATGTTATTTTAGAACCAGGAATGTCTGCATTATTCATTCTGTTACCCTATTTCGAAATTGTCATATTTTTTTAATTTGCGTGAAATTGGCCAAATTGCAAATTTCTGACCATGTTATTGGGTAGTTGAAATCGGTAAATGAGCAGTTTCTTTTACTCAATCGATAGAAAAAATGAAGTTCTAAAGAAATAGCTATGAGTTTGGTCAACTGGAACAATGGAATTAGTCGAAAATAGGGCTCAAAGTGTATGAAATCGCCAATTCGTAAATATCGCCAAGGTCGCTAACTTTGTGGGAGCATAATTCTGTTAGTTTTCCATCAAATTTTGTTCTTTTGGTGTCATTACAATCAGGAAAAGATTCTCTATCGTTTCATAAGTTTTTTTTTTTTGTGACACCAGAAGACACCTCAGGATTTGGGGTTACGACAGTCGAGGGGTTAAATATATAAGAATATACATGTATTTTAAGTGTTGAATGATGATGAAAGTGTTTCTTTTTAGGGTCACCTTGCCTTGATGGGAGATGGCCAACGTGTTAAAAAAAATAATAACGTGGCATGCACTTTATTAACGAGTTCAAGTGTTAGTCAGGGAAATGAGAAGTTAAGGGTTAAAAAAAAAATAGATGGAATATTAGTAGCAAGCTCTGCAGTGCTTTTAAATTTATTATAAAAATATGTTATGCAATGAAATGCAATGCTTGTCACAAAAGATGATATTCTGCAATTTTTAACCCATGTATTTCCCTTTTATAATCAGGGGTGAAAATGGAATCACACAGAACAAAGAAGATGGAAATGAAGATGGAGATAAAAAGAAAAACAAATTACCAAAGAAGAAATTTATTTTCACGGATGTAGTTAGGTAAGAATTTTCTTTTTCTTCTATGTATGATTCCAATTCAGTGACAGGTTCATACAGTTTTCACATATTTGTCATTGTAGTACATAATGAAATTTATATGCTACCATAATTAGCCAGAAGTTCATTGAATAATATTTTTTTTTTTTCTTACTTTTAGAAAGCTTCTGTGTGAGGTGGTGAGTGTACGAGTCAAATTTTGGCAAATGATGAGAAAACGCTCAGAAACTCCTGAAGAGAATATAAGAAGATTTTTAGATTCTGATGTTCGTTCTATCTGGCCCAAGGGGTGGATGAATGTGCACATCCTGTATAAGGAAAGCTATGAATCACATGCAGTAATTACGTGAGTATAATTCTGTTCATTTTATCTATAAGATTTTGTTTTAGTGCTTATAAGTTATGTAATGGTGTCAGGTAGTGTGTATGGTTTATTTGTTGGACAATACTTTATGTAAAGCATGGCTAAAACATTACCCCACACTGTATTTTTTAAATAACTGCAGTCAGTTTGCTCTGTTGTATATACATTAGAATCCCTGTATGATTCAACTTATTTTGCACGGCCGGTCCTGATTCTGTCAAGATTGTTGGTGACGCACTGTACTTGTAGGTTTTGACAAAAATTAATCCCCCTACTTAATGAATTTACACATAGGGGAACTACTATTTTCCCATTCACTCCCACATTATTATTAGAGGCATTCTGAAAAAAAAAATCCATTTTATATTTAATTCCATCTTTGTTGTATCAATAGGCATTTCCAGGAGTTTACAAATTAAAACCACATAGTACTGTGATGTGTAGCACAGCAATCTCTGGGCAAGACAGTTGAGGCTAAGGTAACTTGGCATCACTCAGGGTATCTGATTTGTCCCAGTCATGTCCATAGCTGTCTGTAAGGAGCATCCACACAGCTACTATTCTTCAGCCATGTAAACAATGAGTTATAAAAAAGTATGTTATAAAGAGAGGTTAAATATGAAAAGTTACAAGTACTCAAGGACATGAGGAAGTGCTAGCAGGGTGAGTACTTCTTGTATACCATTGCTGAGTGTATGTAAGGTACAACAGTGTAAAACATTTGCGTCAGTGTGATTGACCTAAATAAACATCTCCCTCTCATAATTGTAGTACTTTCTTACTGCAGTGGGCAGGGGATTATCTTATGTGCATGCAAGAGGGATGAGCCATGTTTATGTTGGTTCCACTTGTGTGTGTCCCATCACTTGTCACCTACACTGATTAAAACATCTGTTCCAAGCATTTTAGCCTAAATCAACATTTATCTCATAAGTGTTTTCTCACTGCGGTGGTCATGGTACTTGGATGCATGCAGCAGGAACAAGTTCCTTATATGCTGGCTTGGCCTCCATGTATTTCCTTCCAGTATTACGTAATATTGCAGTGTGACCGTGTTAGATAGGAGTGAATAGAGGCAAGTGGTTTTTATTATTTGATTTGCTGTTGGAGTGTGAGCAGGGTAACATGAAAGGACTCATGGAAACCAGTTAGCAGGACTTGAGTCCTTTTCATTAATCACTTTAAACATTGTCAAAAAAAAAAATCAGTTTCTTTTCCTATTTCTCGGCTAGTAAACTTTAATAAAAAGTGCTTGATTATGGTTTAGGCCTTCCCAATATGTAAGCATACCTGGTAAAAACCCATAAAACAGATGGGTAGGGGAGCCCTGACCCTTTTTCAGGAAAATTAACCACTTTTGCCAATTTGACGTTAATTTCACACCACTTCTTATCATCCAAAATCATCTCCAATTCACTGACATGTCTTGTGGTCTGTTGGGATCCAGAAACCACCAATGAAGCCATGAAAACCACCCTTAAAGTGGTTAAACCTCATAGTTGATTGGGTGATTTCTTGTGCTCAGTTGATAAAATAAAAGCAATGCTAGCGAAATAGCTAAGAATTTTGTCAACTGGAATAATGTAATTGGCCAAAAATAGGACTCAAAGTGGGCAAAATAGCTGATGCATGAAAATCACTGATGCAGCAAAATTCATGAGAGCATAATTTCATCACTTTTCCATCAGATTTTGTACTTTTTGTTATGTTACCTTCAGAAAAAGATTCTCTTCCATTTCATAAGAAAAAATGACAATTTTTTTTTTTTTTTTTTAAATTCTTGGACCCTGTGGACAAGTTTCCGATCGGGGGTCTGGACCCTGAAAGGATTAAAAACCTTAATCGAATTGTACAGTACAGTATTTCCAAGATTGGTTAGAGCCTCAGCTGAGGTCATGTATGTTTAGTAGTTTATTAAAGGTTTTCATATTAATTAATACTATAAAAGTTTTGGCATGTTTGTCAATAAATCATATACAGAATTTTATTTGTGAGAAAATTAACTTGCAATCTTTTCCTATTCAAGGAACAAAAAGTTTGTGAAACCAATGACTGCTAAGAAGTATATACCTCTGGGAGGTGGCACTGGGTTGTCTGTTTCAAGTAATAGCATCCAGCCACCCAAGCCATCACTGAGTTCTACAGTTACCCCCAAAAATATACCCTCTGCTGTGTCAAGCACATCAAAGGGAGGAGAAGTGGTTAAAAAGAAAATAGGAACTGGAGAGGGAAAGGAGACTGGCTTACTAGCAAAAGCAGCAGCAACAACAACAGCAGCATCAGCATCAGCATCAGCATCAGCATCAGTAGCTTCAACAACTGCAGTAGCCCCACCACCAGCTTTACCTCTACCAGCATTACCAATGCCACCACCATCATTGCTAGCATCATCTCCGCCACCACCACTACCATCATCACCTCCATTACCACCATCACCACCACCACCATCACCACCACCACACCACCACCACCACCACCAATATCACCACCACCAGTATCACCACCACCACCACTGCCATCATCACCACCACCACCACTGCCACCACCACCAACCATATCACCACCACCACCAACTACTCCTCCATCACAGCTACTAGAACCACCTCCACCAACCACACCACCACAGCTGCCGCCACCACTCCCACCAACGATAACCACACCACCACTGCCACCCCTATCCCTACCATCACCCTCATCATCGCCACCACTACCACCAGGGACAGGAAGTAGAGTATCACTGGGAACAACAGCAGAAGCAACATCACTACAAGCAGCAGTAGTAACAGGAGCAATAGCAGCAGCAGCAGTAGACAGGACTGTTTCTTCAAGTGGTTGTATAAGTATAAAGTCAGTGGATAAAATTAATGAAGGCGCTAAGACAATAACAGTACTGGAAACAAATTCTAAAACAGTTAGTAGTGTTGGTAGTGCTGTGAAAGATAATTCTACAGAAGAGACGCACACTAAAGCGGTGTCCTCTGTTTCGTCTGTTAGTGTTATAGACTTGTCTAGCGATGAAGACAAGTCAATGACAAGTAAAGTGGCATCTTCCAAACTAAACCCAGTATCTTTGTCAAATACAGTGAAGAATGATCACTCTTCAGAAAAGGATGCGGCACCAGTAGTATCAAGTACATCAGTTATCCAGAGAGTGAATTCAACAGAAGGCAGGAAAGATGACAATTTAGAGGAAGAAATGATTCTTGTCATGAATGAAATACTACAAATTTCCAAGCAGAAGTCTGTTGATGATACCTTGGAGAAAATAACTGTGGAAAACACTAATCAATCATCATCAGTGAATTCAACAACTACTAAGCTCCACAGTGTATCTCAGTGTCAGCCGCAGAGACAGCATGTTCCTCATTCATCGGCCCATCAAACAATGCAGCAACATAGCACCCAGTTACAACCTAAACAACACACTTCACAAAAGCCTTCTATGGCAGATCATTCGAAACAAAGCTCACCTGTACAGCAACTAAAGCACAAACCAGAACACAGCTCACCAACACAACAACAGAAGCACCCTACAGAACACCATTCACCAGTACAGCAAAAGATACATACACCACATCATTCACCAGTGGAGAAACAGCGACAGAATGTACAGCTTGATTCACCAGTTGAGAAACAGCGACAAAATGTACAGCATAATTCACCAGTTGAAAAACAGCGACAAAATGTACAGCATAATTCACCAGTTCAAAAACAGCAGCAAAACTTAAAACATAATTCACCAGTACAACAGATAACGCAAACAAAACTGCCAAATTCACCATTGCAAAAACAATCACAGTCTCATTCTTCAACACAGCAGCGTAGCTCATCACATCAGTCTAAGCAATCACAGTCGCAGCTATCTATGCAACAATCAACACATCAGTCATTGCAACAGCAACCTTTAAATTTGCAGCAACCAAGACCACAACCCATAAATCTTCAGCAGTCTTCAAATGTACAGCCACCTAAGTCACAACATCCACTCAACTTGCATCTAAACAGTTCTCAGTATTCCTCCTCATCACAACAACAAAAGATACCACATGACTCCAGTCATCATAAGAAACACCCACAACAGTATTCACACACACAACATAAACAAGCACAGCCTAAACCTATAAACATCAATGTCTCATCATGGAATAAAAGTGATATGTCCATGAACCCCAAAAAGTCTCCACCTAGTACAAACAAGACTCACTCCTTATGGGGATCCAGTCATGAAGTGTCACCTTCAAGACAGAGACATGCTGAAGCACCCATTGGTTAGTTTACTTAATATCTCTTATTTATTTGTTTGTTTATTTACTGTTTTTAGTATTTGTTTCCTTAAAAATTATAAATGCATGGAATAGTATAAGAAATATATATCAAAATTATTATGCATGGACCTCCTTGAAACAGGAAAATAATGTATTTGTAAAAAAAAAAATGCATCATATTTTCAAATTAGGTTATATTTTTAGCAATAACTGGCTTAGAGATTAGTAACAAACTGCTTCTTTTTTTTTTTTTTTTAATATGTGCTTTGCATGATATGAGTGCTGGATGTTACTAACAAAGGTAAACTAGTTTTTATGTTGCAGCAGTTACTTATCTTTTCGGCAGCAGTGAATTTAAAAACAGGTAAATTTAGCTATATTGGACTTTTTCTTAAAAATATTGCTCATCTCCAAAATTGCCAGGAATAAGCTTTAAAGCAATTTCTTTCTAATAAGTATTTAAAAGTAAAAGCTCTATGAAGTCATCCATTGTAAGGTAAGTTGTTAAATGTTGCTCTTAGTCATATTCTAGATGCTGGTAATAGGAGTTCACGTATATTTCCCATATTTTGAAAAACCCATATTTTTCCTGGCATTTGAATATTTCATTATCTTGCTGTAATGATTTTACCTGATACTGGTAAGTATGAGTAACTTAAGTACTGTATTTCTAAACAATATGGGACTAGAATGTCCAGGAAGTATAATTAAAAAACTTCCAAGTCATCTGTTGGCATATAATGATGACTGCAAGATATTTCAGTAGAAAGATGTATGAACCTATTTATGTCATCCTTCCTTTGATAGTTTCATCAGCCGATCCATTGGCTAACTTGAGGATGATGCACGGCCTTAGTGTGAGCAGTATTACCAAAAAGACATCGGCATCTACATCAGTTTATCATAATCCTACTGCACTAGCCACTTCTTCTAGTGGGATATACAGTTCATCAGGTGAGAATTAAGACTGGTAGGTATGATTAAGATGAGGACAAGATTCTTGCTACTTTGTGGAAGTGATGAAGGTATTTGATAACAGTTTTTTGTATTTGGTCAGTCAGTATATATCCTGATGTTTTTATTATCCTATCACAGAATAGCTTTATATACTCAGGTAAGTTTACAGAAGAGTTACTGGCATTACTATTTGCTAACAAATACATTTTTATGTGGAAAGCCACAATAAAAAGATAAGAAATAATTGAAGCAAGGAGAAATAACTGAAATGTTGATTCCTGTATTTTCTGCCTTACCTAAAAAATTTTATGAATAGCTTCTGGTATGTTCAGGTACTAATAATATAGTACAATGATGCTGTTCTTCTTGTCTGCTGGTATTATATAGTACTTTTCATATATTAAAAGGTTAGCACTTAATCTAATGCTCAGTGTAAATAATCAAATAATAATGTTTGAAGCATTTCATTTATACTGTATTAGCCTTACTATCATATAAGTGAGTTGTCATACAAAGTAAAAATTGTCTGAACAAATTATTTGAACATTTTATGTGGAAAAGTGAAGAAGGAAAGAGGGAGAATGTTGCAACAGAAAAAATGATGATGAATTAAAAAATTACAACTCAAATGCAGGATAAGAAAATCATTTTGAAAGCTGTTAAAATTTTTGTTAGTGCTGTACTGGGAATGTATGGCATGAAAATAAAATTAACATTGCAGTTTGCTATCAATTATGATAGTTTTCTCAGTTGTAATTCTTATGGTCTTTATTTTAATGAATAGGATGGTGCATAAACTGACAGGACTAGGGATTAGTGTTATGTAGGGGGGGGGGGGTAATGAACGAACAGGATAAGTGGGGAATAAGGGAGTAAAGGGAGGGAGTAGGAGGGAGACAGAAGTGAGAGGAAAGGAGGTAGGTAGGTAGGTAGGTATGACAGGCCAGTGGTGACCACCACGACACACTCATTACACTACTCACTACCATATAACTCGCCCACTCTTCACTCACTCCACCTTATATAAACAAAATAAAGTATAAGAAATAGAAATAAATAATGGGGACAGTGAATATTACTACTCTACTCAAACACAGTTTATTGTTAAGTCCTTGGACAGTAATATATTTGGGAACAGGAGAACACTATTGGGTTTAGATAAATTAGGGTTGTACTCATAAGCAGTGAGACAGGGAATACAATCAACTGACAAAACAGAATATAACTTACAATATAGTTCAGAGGATAGTTCACGACAGGAACTCAGTCACACACTAACCACAGGTCCCAAGACCTACACAGCATGAGCACTGCTCCAAGCCAGTACTCTGCCTAGTGTCTTCAACAGTCTCCTCCAGAGACTCTTCAGCAGCCCTCTCCTAAAGCTCTGCACACAGGCAGCATCTCTGCCAGAATCTCTAGCCCAGAGCTCTGCACACTGGTCAGAGCTCTGTCAGAATCTTCCTCTAGCCATTTCCTTGAGCTTATATGGTCTGTTGAGCACCCGATCCCCCCCCAATGAGGAGTGCACCATGTGTTTTGACCTGACACTAGTTCAAGAACAAAAGACCCGAGACTTAAGCCGAGAGGTATGTCTGACAGCTATTTGCCAAGGCAAGGAGTATTACAGTTTACTAGTTAATTAGGTCCCCCTCAGAGACCTCACAAGCACAGTGACACATCACAACAGTGTAGAGAGAGAGAGATTGATTTTGAGAGGCATTAAGTGAATGTTTAGGGAGTTATGTACCAAATGAGAGTAATTGTTATAGGGGACCTATTCCGTTACCTGTGATACAGCTCTGAAGGATTTTATGAGTTTTCCTAAATGGTAAAGTGGGAGAATGTGTTGTAGATGGCATAGTACTGCAAGTTTTGAGTGCGTGGGATTAATGACATGGGCCTGTAATGGAATTTTTTATAAAAAGAGGTTTGGTAATAGGCAATACTTATTTTGAGAAAGAGGATAAACAGATGTATGAGATATGATACAGAGCATAACAAATGCAATTTGCTAGACCGTGTATCAGTAGATAAGTGGTTGATAAGTAGCCTACTTCATGTGCAGGTTTTTAGTGAGGTTACATACATATATCAAATCATTATTTAGTATGACTTACAGTGAGACTAAGAGGTAGATGGAGTACAAGAAGGTCATCAGCAGGTAAAAGTGAAAGAAAGAAAGGAGACATTGTAAGATATAAGCATTTGTTGGGAGAAAGATTGGGTAGAGAGAATAAAGGTTACAAGAGGAGGGCAAAGATTTATGGGATTAATTTAAAAATACCACATCGTCTATGACGATGTAAGAATAGATCTAATGTTAAAGCTCCTGGGTCGAGGGAAGGAGTTCAGTTAGATTACAGTTGGTGCCTCTGATGGAATGTTATACAGTAAATGTTACCTCCGAATCCTTCCTGTTAAAGGCCTGGGCAGTCAAGATGGTGGAGCGTCAGACTGTCAATTTATGGGCTGTGGTTCACACCCCCCTCTATTCCCTTCTGTTAACACAGAAGGGTGGACTTGGGGTGTGAACCAGTATATGTAAAGAACTGCTTGCTTTATTTTTGGATTTAGAAAAGGCATACAATAAGGGGGATAGGAGAGAGCACTGTGACAGGAAAGATACCAGAACTGGAAAAAATGAGATTGTTTGCTACCTGCATTATCAATAAAGTATTTAAATTACCAGGAGTGCTCCATATATGTTGTCTCCTAACTCCTTACAAGTTCATTTGTCATATGTCTATGCTAAAACTTGCTTATTGTAAGGTTGCCAAAAGTGCATTGTAAAACTATTGGTTTTCCATGAACAATAGAAAAATATGTAGTCAATTTGTAATGCCATAGAAAATAAACTTTACTAGGCACTTAATAATACAGACTTCATCAACAATACTTGAGGGCCTAGCCCTAGATCTCCATACCTGTACTGTCATAATGCACTAGTGAAGTATATGAGAAAACGTGTAAGAAAGACCCAGTGAAAAGCAGGGGTATCATGGGCACAATAAAAGAATACTGTGCCAATATCTATGGCCCAAGACTTTCATCCTGCTCCCAGCAAATAACAGAAATATTATCAGAGTAAGTGTAGAAAGTTTCAAGAGGATTCTGCAGCTCCAGTAAAGGCCAGGTTAAGCAGGCTTTGATTAACATTGAGACCAGTGGACTGCCACCACCATTATCTTTGTTAAACAGGCAATCAAGAGAATAGCTTGATCCCAGGCTGAGCTGCAAGGGTAGAAAAACTCGTGAAAACAGTCGTAGGTATATCACAGCTGTAGGTAACCCTTAAACTAAGTGCAGTGTAGGGTATGCATTAAATATGTCCATGTGGACAACCAAGAAAATATCTTAGCTCTTTCAAATTTTTCTCACTCCAGTATTTTAGACTTACATATGCCTTGTTGGATAATGAAACCTACTCCCAAGAAAAAATCTTGGCCTATGCATTGCCTTTTTTAAAAGTACTAAAGTAGTGTAGACAATAGATTAGGTGGATTTTTTATGAACTGTATTTAAATGAGTTTGTACAGAACTGTATAAACAATTTAGTGCTGTTTTCATTAGGCACTACTAGACTTGGATTTGTCAACTTTCAACACAAAGATAAGTTTATATTAGCTTTCAGTTATCTCTTCTTTCTTGTATTCAAAATTTGAGTATATATTTGTCTTTAAGTCACCAGTACAAGAAATGCCAAGGATACCTAATGAGTGCCTGGTTAAAGGGTTAAATATGAGAGATTATGCGAAAGAATGAAGATAGCCAAGGGCGGGTGTTGAGATGCAATTTGTGACATTGTACCAATGGTATAGTCCTGTATATAAAAATTAAATACTGTACAGTACTATTCTAGTGTATGTGGATTTCCTCTTTTATATATATATATATATATATATATATATATATATATATATATATATATATATATATATAATATATATAATATATATAAATATATATAATATATATATATATATATATATATATATATATATATATATATATATATATATATATATATATATAATATATATATATATATATATATATATATATTATATATATAATATATATATACAAACCACACAACACACACACACACACACACACACACACACACACACACACCACACACACACACACACACACACACACACACACACACACACACACACACACACACACAGAGTCAGTGGAACCTCGGCTTACGAATGCCCCACCATGCAAATTTTTCAGGATATGAACGGTCACTCGATCAATTTTTGCTTCTGGATACGAACAGTATTACAGGATGCGAACTTCCACCTCAAGGGAGGTTCCTTGGTGAGAGGCTCTTGATCAAGGGAATTGGATCTATGCTCCACTTCCCTAAATTATTAATAATAATAATTATTATTATTATTATTATTATTATAATACATCTGTACTAATAATAATACACTGCAGCAGGCCTGTTAGCCCATACTAGGCAGGTCCTTCACAATCCATCCCACTAACAGAGTATTTACCCAACTCAGTTTTCAATGCTATCCAAGCAATAAGCTTTGAAGGAAGGAGGGGTAGGGGTCGTCCTCAAAAAGGTTGGAGGGAGGGGGTAAAGGAGGTTTTGTGGGCGAGGGACTTGGACTTCCAGCAAGCATGCATGAGCGTGTTAGATAGGAGTGAATGGAGACGAATGGTATTTGGGACCTGACAAGCTGTTGGAGTGTGAGCATGGTAATATTTAGTGAAGGGATTCAGGGAAACTGGTTATTTTTATATAACCGGACTTAAGTACTGGAAATGGGAAGTATACAATGCCTGCACTTTAAAGGAGGGGTTGGGATATTGGCAGTTTGGAGGGATATGTTGTATATCTTTATACATATATGCTTCTAAACTGTTGTGTACTGGGCACCTCTGCAAAAACAGTGATTATGTATGAGTGAGGCGAAACATAAGAAAGGAGGAGCATTGCAGCAGGCCTGTTAGCCCATACTAGGCAGGTC